GCTCTGAGTCTGGCCCTGACCTGCTTTTAGACTCATTTTTTATCTTCCTCCATCTCTGATGGATCCCTTTATTTATTCCTCAAATCTGAATATTTTTTCACTCCGAGCTGGACTTTTAGGGTGGCTTTGTGTCATAATTATATATAAAAAATCAGATTATGAATTGATCTGTTTTACTCACTTGTTCCACCACCAGGACTCGTTAGAACCAGTGAAGGATGTGGTGCTTCCATGCTTTTATGAAGTGTAGCCACGGCGATAATTTTCCTTTTGTGAATGCATAGTTTGGTGACGTCTTCGTCCGCTTTAACATCTTCGGCAGTTCTCTGCTTCACAGCAGCTCCAGGATCAAAATTAAACACCTGGCAGGGGAAATTCCAGTTCAAATCACGAAATTCCAGTTCCAATTCAAGTCACCAAATTCACATCAATTCCACATTTTTTATGGAATATAATGGGATTTTTCTCTGTTCTCAACATTGCCCAAGAGATGCTTTGTCAGGATGTTTGGAAATAAAAAATAGAAKTGAATATATTTTGAATAACAGATCCTCTCCAAGAGGGGCTCAGGCAGAGAGGAGATAAATTTTATATTTTAAGTCACAACTTTGGTGGACACCACTGATTTTAGAGATGACCCAAACAGAGATTCCATCACCAGCACGGGTAGYTCATAAATATTATTGCACAGAGATCCAAAAAGCTGCTTTGCTTTACCTTGGGAAGAACAAGAGGACATTCTAGGCCACACTTGCACGTTCCATCAGTCAGCAAGTAAGTCTTCACCTGCTCCAAGCAGGATAATAAAGACCCACTGGGACTGGAAAGGAACAGAAATKATGAATATGAGCTCTTTGATCAGTCCTGATTTGTATCTGCTCACAAGGACAGTAGGTAAAATCACATTTAATATTTTATTTCCTGCTTTTACCCAAGAATTGAGATAATACTTACAAAAGAAAACCAAACCCAAACATATTTTAAAGGAAACAAAACTGTTGCMGCCAGGTCTTTCTTTTTTTTTGCACMAAGTTTGGTTTCATTCAGCTGAAAYTCTGCYCCTCTCACAGAAAATGAGAAATATGACACCGAGGAGCCGGGCCAGCGAGCTCCTGATAAACTGCACTCGGATTTCTCCAACTCCCAGCAGAAAATCATTATCTCCACATCCCAAAATAGGGCACTGGGAACTCTGTTACGGCAAAATCACTAATTCATAACATAAAAAAAAAAAAAAACCCCCAAAAAAAAACTTCTCGTGTCCCCAGCCTGTAACTCACAGATTGCTCTTTACTGTTGGGCCAACTGAACTGTTCCTCTGGAATAAACCCCTGGTTATTAATGGCAGCYGTAAATAGCCCTGATTCAAACAAAAACAACTCAAGTGGAATACTTTGGATCGGGAAAAGRCTCATGACTCAAAATTCCAAACTCTGACCAACTTTGGTACTCGGGATCCAAGACATAAACACCTCGTTGTGCACGGCTGAAGCCACATCTGCAAGCGACACTGCAAAGTTATGCTGACACTTTAAATAAGTCATTTCTTTGCCAGACATGCCCTGAAATAGTTATTTYTGGGAGAAGTGCTCAGGTTGAGTATGTGCAACAGCGACAGTTGGGAGGGTGAGGAAGATGAAAGAGARATCTAAAAATAAAGGTCTGCTGGCTGGTCAGGAAGTCCAAGCTGAAATCCTTGAGGAGCAGGGGGAAACTGCTCTTTATTTTTATTTATTTTAGTTGAATCACAATCCTGGCTGAWCCTTTTGGGTGTTCCTATCCTGACCGTGCTCAGCTTGAAGATGTAACATGGAGAATCCCAAAGTGACATTTGCTCTGGACCATCCCATCACACCCCAAATCTCTCCAGATGCTTTCTGGGATCCTTAAAAACTCCCTTTACAAGGAATTCCTGGGAATCTGCTCAGCAGTCAGCAGGCTGGTGTATTTGCATTGGCTAAAAAAGGCTCCTTTTCCTGGGATATTTTTAGAAAAAGGTGATTTTAAAGAACCTTGGTGTGCTGTTTGCCTGGGCACACACAACCAGGAGATCCTGGAATAAAAAGGGCTGTGCTGACACTCAGGGASTGTGAAGGAAGGTCAATCCACTGAATCTGTGGGATTTGGGATCCAGCATCCCTACTGCCCACACCTGCATGGTTATTTATCCACAAAAACCAGACTAATTTTAAAAAGAAATCAAGAATCAAGAATTCTTTTCCTGTTTCTGCCTTGTTTCTGGGCACAGCTGTAACAGCAAAATCCCTTTTGTGTGAACAAAGTTATTCTGTGCCACTTCTAGAACACAAAGGATGATCCACAGCTTCCTTTGGAAGAAACTGCCYCAAAATYATGGAATTCYAGACTGGTTTRGGTTGGGAAGGACCTTAAAGATGAGCTGATTCCAGCTCAAACATCCCAGGCTGCTCCAGCCTCACCTGGGATGATTTAGGCTCAGCAGTGCTGTTTTGCTAAGAAAAGCCCTGGAAGTCAACTCAGTGCTTCTCCCAGGTAATGAAAACCAGTTAATGAATGGATTTAATCTTAATTTGGATTTTAATCTGGATTTAATCTTGCTGATGGGAAAGTGCTCCTGCTTTACAGGGACACACAAACAGAGAATATTTAGCTGGGATCATCTATTCCACTTAAATCATGTCAGATCCTAATAGATCCACTCATTTTCCCTGGGATGGCTGTGGAGYCAATATTGTTTGACTTTTCTTCATCTCCACGCTGGCAGGGCTGGGGAAAGTCAATCCTGGAGGATTCAGTTGCTCTGGGGATGCTCCATGGCAGGATTGGATTATTGAATTTCCACCTTTTCCAACCAAYGTGTCCTGCTCTGTGCCCCGCACCAAACAGGAATGGAAAACCTCAAAACATCTCAGAGAAGGCAACCAGAAAATTCACCAAAAAGTAAAAAAAAAAATACACTGGAAAAATTGGAAGAGGGCAGGAATAACAAACATGGGCTTGCTCAAAGCTGCAGAAAATGTGGAAAACTCAAGAGCTGAGGAAAACAAAGTTCAAAAGCAGATGTAAAAAAAATCCCATGGTGTTCTATGTCCTGATCTCTGGATAAAGAGATTTTTGGGGGTGAAATCCAACTAATCCACAATTTTTCCTTTCCCACTGCTCGTTTTTCACCGAGGCAGAAGCTCAGGGAATTAGGGCTGTAATGAGGAATAYGAGGGGAAGGCCATGGGTATCACTGACACGGGCTGGGTTTGATTCTGCTAATTAAGAACACAAACGAGAAACCCTGGGATGCATCTGCTCCTTCATGGCRGTTCAGGGTTAAATTGGAGTGTGCTTTGGCTCATTAAGGACTTTTGTCTTGGTAAAACACAAAAAGTCGTGAAGGAGGGGTTATTTTAATCCCAGAGCAGTGGAATAAATGTAAGCAAATAACAGACAAATAATCACGTAGACTCGTGTGATGCAAACTCATTGTYCCCACATTTTACAGAGCTAACTTGGATCTTTTTTTTCAATAACATTTAATTTAGACTCTCTTTGTCTGAACACATTTATTTAATGGAAATTTCGACACATTTCTTTGTGAGTGTTTCAGGACGAAGCAAAAAAAATCCAATAAGCAGAGAAAATAAAGTATCTAAAATAAAGTACCTAAAACTTAGGATTTAGCTTCATATTCTTGTTGGTTTTTTTTCTACATGAGAAATGTGAGGGATCCATAAAAGTAACTCTTGCTGGAGAACATCAGTGATAGCAAATACAGAGCTTTTGTGTGCATTAAAAAATGGGTTTGGAGGTATTGAGTAGCCACATAAATTAATTTAGTRAAGAATTATAGAATTGAAGAATCCTGGARTGGTTTGGGYTGGGAGGGTTCTAAAGCTGATCTAAAGCCCAGGGACAGGATCCCAGGCTATTCCATGCTCCATCCATCAATTCCATCCCAACATCCCTCCTAAACCCACCCTCCTTCAKCTTCCAAGACCATCTCCCACTTGGAAAAGAACNATTTCTTGGTATTTTTGAGCAGAAAAACGAGCTGAGGCAGCAATTGATGGCACATCCTGCCCAAAGTCCACCRRGCCCCAGCCCCACCCTGGAGGTGAMCTTACCTGATGTAGAGAACTCCACTTTGGTCCACCCTCCGCTGCCAACCAACGGGAACTTGCACTGCTGGTGGCCCTCCATCCGTGTCCCCTCCGTCACACTCCTTCCCACCATTCATTTTCCTGTTTCTGGTTATGAGTCTTCAGAGATATCAACAGGAAGGTGATATCCTTTCACTACATGGCATCCTGGCCTCCCAAAGCAGGCCCTGCAGCACAGCTCGCCCCAAATCCTACAAAGTGCATTGGGAGGCTCCAGCTCAGTTTGAAACCAAGTCCTCAAAAGTGGCCATTTTGGTTAATGAGTCACTTTCCCATTATAATCCACATTAAATATGCAATGTTTAACTCCTTATATATTCATAAGGATGAACTCTATAGATAAAAATTAGTGCTTCCAACTTGGGAAAATCATAATTCAYCAATCCTTTGTTACCTGTCAGAAAGGAGAATGGGGAAAAGGAGGATTTCTAGTTCGACAGCATGATGGCTCCAAGCTTGATGAGTGCCTAAGATAACTTGTATTTCGTGAAAACTCGTCTCATTTTTACAAATGTGATCCGATACCTCCAGGTATTACACCCTTTATATGCCACATTCTGGTTGTTTGCTTTTTATTTTCCTTTCATGATCCAAATTGTCTTCTTGAGGCTCTTTCATGACTCCTCGGCTCCAATCCGACAGCCTGAAAAACACAGAGGTGGAAACATCATCAGTTCAGGGACTCAGCCAGATGTTTAGAGCTGCARCCATTCCCAGAGCTCAARAATCCAACTTTTAAATGTCGGTGGMATTGTCAAAATAAAGCTCAGAGCAAACAGAATCCCGCCAGCAAATTCTATTTATACACAGATACAACAGAGCACGACTGCTGTTAAATACTTGATGGACACTTTGGGTGAATGAAGGGATGCATTTTTCCATGGAATATTTTCACATATGTTTCTGTTCAGAACTCTCAGCAGATGACTCAATTAATGCTCTTGAAAAATTGTTTCAAAAGCTGAATGAATTTCACGTGAAGGGAGCTGATTCTAGGCGTCGGTGACACCCGTAAAAACACAAACTTCCTGTGTTTTGATGAATTAAAATAATCATCTCCTCCAAAAATTGTGCAATAAAAAGGGAAAAGCTGGCAGCAGTGACTGATCTGTGAATGGCAATGTCCCAATTGGAATATCCTCAGGAATAATCCCCCTCGTGACAGAAGTTGTGTCATTCCCCCAAAAGTTTGGTGAGAATCAACTTTTGAGGCTGGACATTTTAGACAAATGTGGAATATGTGATTTAAATAGCAAATACATCAGGAAAAAAGCAACAATCCTAAATTCAAACACAGGACAGTGCTGATGGGTGCTGCAGTAACATAATTTGGAGGTTTTATTTGGGATCAGGTGTCAATTCCGCCTTATTCCCAACACCAACATCATGCCAACACATTAAAACATAATAAACTTCACAGATCTGACTGATTTTAATAATTTTTCTTTTCTTTTTTGAAGCTAGAAATGGAACATAAAGACATTTCTGCAATAACACCACRTTACATCTATATTTAACAGTAATAACAGCTCCTTCCTTCAAGACCACTAAAGGAAGTCTACGGAGGCATAAATATAGTCCTGGAAAATGTTCCCTTAAGTACCCTCGTGCAGAACATTCTCTTCAGAAGTGCTGCTTACAAA